AAAGAGCACATTATGGTTCTATTTAAACCGATTTGTGCATGTAACGTTACTCTAGTTCATGCTATTGATTACTTAGATCTTGTTATGTTTGAGGAAAAAGTGCATCCTCTACTGTCTGAACATTAAAACATGAACATGTTTAGCTGACAGGTTTGGAATCGTTTTTTTGAGACCCAAATAAACATGGCTGAAAACTTGGCATCAGGTCTCAACAGACATGTAATATAATGTTGTGCTCCTAAACAACAATGTATTTGACTTTGTGAGAATATCAGCTGTATTCATGACTTATCGTGTAAGCTTTCAGAAATCCCTGTTACATTTTGACACAAGTGAAAATCCACACCTATGCCATTTCTGATGTGGCTAATGTTTTGAACACCTGGGTATCTGTACCCAAAGTGATCGGCACAAACTCAAAGATGAGTTAATTAAATTAAAGATTTAATTAACAGCTTGGAGATGAACTTGTAAGATCCATCCGCTTCAGGCTGTGTGAGCGATCGGTGTCTGCAGATAGTTTAGAGATAAACGGACGCATCATGTTCAGATGTTAATCGAGGGGAAGCTGAGGGTTCCACCCACATGACACCTCAATCATCCTAACCCTTTATTACACGGAGTAAACATCATAAAAAGCCACTTTAAAGATGATGAGAGAAATCCGAATTTTGCTTAATATTTATAATGATGTGATTAAATTATTGTTTTTGCTGTCAGAGCTTGCTCCTGCTGCTCTTCCATTGCTCCTTTGAAGTCAGTTTTAAGTTGTTTCATGTGGTCATGGAGTCTGCTCGTATTGCTTTCCAAACGGCACACAGTCTTACTTAAATACACACTAAGCACTGTAATTTTTTTACAAGTGAAGGTGCAATTTGCTGTAAATGCAGTATCAGTGTTTCAAAACCCATAGAGGGCCATTGCATTTAAGAGGCAAACTCTTTAGGAGAGGGGAAAATGAATGAAAAGTTAAAATGCACCTAAACAAGATTTGCATCATATAATTAAAAATCGTAATCATATAGCTTTTGAAAGTGAATTGCTACACCTGCTGAGGCTGCTTTATACGCTGTCATTTTCAGACTTACAGATAAATGCATTTCTAGATATTCCTTAGAACTTGCTAAATGTATGTTAAATGAAAGGATCACTTGAGAAATTCTTCACTCAAAAATGAAAGTTCTGTCATCTTTTACTCACCGTCATGTTGTTCTAAACCAGGGCGTTTCCCGTACAACGACGTAGTGCTTCACTACCATAGTAGTCTACGATGCATCGTTAGTGAAATCAACTAGCTAGTCACGACTGTTTCCCGAAACCCATTGTAGCAAAGTATCGTTCAACCACGTTGGTTTCGCACGTGGTGGAGCTAACTACTTTTAATGAAACTGTTTGAGATCCAATTAACGTAGGCCTAAGATTTTTTTAATATAAATTATAAAAATGTAATCTGAGGACTAGTCTATTTCTACTTGTTCTTAGTTATTTTGCTTTATTACCAGACTCAAGATTTAGTTCGTTCTTGCGTAGTAGAACACGTTCGCACATGCGCACTCTTCCAACACGTTACTTATAAATCTTTTGACAAACTAAAAGATGTAAATTCAATTTGTATTTATTCTAAATAAAAGGCACCGCTTGTACTGAATGTCAGCTTGCTTATTTTGCTCAAGATAAGGATTTATTACCTCCAAAAGAAACGATGCCTCTAACCACAGGTCGAGACCCTTACAAAAAATTACTGCAGTTTTTTTAGAAGTAATAGAAAATGCAGGTTTTTGGACACGAAAAAACTGCATTAACGCCCCCTCATCAGCGCTCCGCTGGCGGAGGGTGGAAAATAGGCACAACACCGGCTCTGAGTCATTAGAAATACAATAAACGTACAAATAAATATTACAGATTAAAAAACGATTGTAAATGTCATCCAATTTTCTAATACTATTATTTGATGACAACAATACTTTAGGAAAACAAAATACAGCCATTTCTATTTTTTTTTTCTTTTAAACAAAAAACCAAGTTGCACCCTTTCTTAAATGTCATCTTTCATTCCGAAATAGACAGCCCGATCTCATGAAAGTTCGTGTCTATGGCACGAATGTCATTTCTCGTGGCATTTATACGCCAAAAACAGTTTTTACGTGTATTTGGCACGCGATTTTCGCGTACATATGATACGCACTTTTTTGCGTATAATACGCACGAACTCCCCACCCCCCTCCCCCCTAAACCTAACCCAGGGTTTTTTAGTGCGTACCATATACACGAAAAAAACACTTTTGGCGTATAAATGCCACGAGAAATGACACTCGTGGTATAGATACGCATCTTCATGAGACTGTGTTGGAAATAGAATAATGAATGGACGAAAAAGTACACGGACCACGCACAGTCGCACACACACATTTTGAAGAGAAATCAAATAAAGTCTCTCTCCTGTACTACCCTCATGTGTTGTAGATAAAGCAATACAAAAGACAAACAACATTTGATTCTATCATAAATAATATTTTTACAAATGTAGACATTCACACCTTATACTGTAGGCTACGCGAGTTGCACATATAAAATGAAGTTAAGGAACAAACACAATCCATCAGGAAAAGCCATATGTCGCTGAATTTCACTGTGCTTTATAAGAGTTTTCAAGAGTTTTTCTTTTGCGTGAAGAAGCCGTTTGCCGGAGATGTGTTAAAATATAGGAGTGCATTGATGATTATTAGGCTACCGGTATAATAACCCTCCTGGCTCCAGGTCTGAGTGAGTCATTCACTCTTACATTTGTTTTGATTAACATTAATGGCACTTTAAGATCAGCCGCTGCTGACAGAGATGCAATCCGACACGTGTCCCAATTTTCTCACAAATCTCCACGTTAATTTAAGATTATTTAAATCCCTTAAAGGTCCCCTGACATGAAATTTTCATCTTCTGACGTTTTTTTAACATTAATATGAGTTCCCCTAGACTGTATTTGGTCCTCTCGTGTCTAGAACTTTCAATCAGTGTAAACCGAGCTTTGGCTATTTTTCTCTTCTCTGCATCCGTCTGCAGCTCAGACGCGCTGATCTCGAATCTCCCCCTATATAACGTCATATAGGGGAAAGGTTACTCCCCTTTCTCTGCTTTGCCTGCCCAGAGAATTTGGCCCGACAATGAGAAAACGAGCTAGGAACAGGAAGTACGAACAAGCGCAGGCGTGATTTTATTTTTTCCTAGAGAAATAGGAGATTTGAGTTTTTCCTCAAGAAATATCATGGCTTGCAAACGAGCGAAGCATGGCAGTTGCTCAGGGTTCAGATGTACAAATGAACACAAAAGTATTTTTTACTTCCTTCATCCGCGCCTCTGAAGAAACAATGGGTTAATTTTATTTTCTCTGGAAATGCGCCGACTCAACTCCCAAAGTTTGGTCCAAACAGGCAGGAGACAGGTAAGTTAATCTTTCTCTCAAAATCTGTTTTCACTGTTTATTTACTGTTTTAATACTGTTTATGCATCAGTACAAGCCAGTGACTAAAATATCAACTTCACATCGTTTCTTTAATTAGGATGAACATAATCTTATTTAAAGAAAGTGATTAGCAGGATTGATATTCTAAACGTTAAGCACGCGCTGCTTTGTTTACGTTGTGTATCTGCAGCCGGCAGCGTCGGTTTTCCTTTTTGAATGACGAATATAGACTAATATATCTGCAGAAATACACAGTTGGCTCATTAAACGCAGGCGCAGAACGCACATTATAGCTGTCAGTCGGCTGTAGTTCTCTCGGTGAGGTCAAGTGCAGCTTTTTACCTCGACGAGAGCGGACGAGTTTGGGGCTTTAGAGAGTTAGTTGCACTGCACAACGAAGCTCTTGATGTATGTACATCATCGTGTCTGCATTGGTGAAAGCAGAGAGTGCAGAAACTGCGTTATACAATAAGATCTTCATTCTCGCGATCGACAGACTGTCATCTGCTTCTCATTGCTCATCACAGCAACATTTTATGTGATGAGAATCTAAATACTTCAAAAACTTCTCACGATTCAGTAATCTCGATATCTGTAATAGTAAAAACGTATAATAGTAAAAGTATTCAAGAGAGTTTCACATGTAATATGTAGCTATTTCATATGCAAGCACGTCAGCCAATCACAGCAGTGGGCGGTTACATTGAATCCCACAGCAGACACGCCCCTTCAAACAGAGCGTTCAAAGCAGAGGCTAAAATTAAATCAGGCTAGGAAAAATGCCTTTTATTTCTAAATTATGACTATTTTTGGTCTAAAAAACATACTAACATAAGGGCAACCCAGGAAACATTATAAAATAATAATAAAAAAAAAATGTCAGGGGACCTTTAAAACTGCTCTAATGAGGACACTCGACAAAACTGACATTTTGGCACATATTGTGTGTGTGTTATGGTTTGTTCAAGCCTGAAAAAGAACTCGATACTGAAGCGCACCTTTTCCTCCACACAGCTGGACATTTAAGTTGCTGGCGCTCATGCTACGTTCACGGTCGTCACGTGCGCATAGTAAATCCACCACATATTGGCAAGGCTCATCGGCAGAGATATTACTATCGGCCGATACCGATGATCATTAAGCTTTTATCGGCTGATACCGATGTCGTGCTGATGTCATCGTGCGTCCCTAACACTTGGCTTTATATAAGAGATCTCGGCTCAATTTTCTCACAAATGCAGTTGAGCAACTTCCTCTTCTAAAACAGTAGACAGCGCTAAACTAGGTGATTAATTTAGTCTCCCAGGAGAAGCCCACTTGCCTTTGCATAGAGCTGAGGAGAATGACCAGTGAACAGGTGTTTACTGTATCTATAATGAACCTTTTTGAGGTTTTCTTTGGCAAAATGTTATTCTATATCTAGACATATCCATATTAGATTTAATCTTATTGAATATTACATCCTATTTATGTTAATTTATGGTTTATTTTTCAGCATTAATAATGAGTTTGAACACTCCAGATAAAAAGTTAAATTACTCACCCTCATGTCATTCCAACCCCGCAAGACACGGGGAACACAACTGAAGATATTTTTGATGAAATCTTTCTGTCACTCCATTGACAGTCTACACACAATTTGCCCAATAACATGCATTTCTGGAAAAAAGCAGAGACACACAATTTTTAAAGTCTGTGAGTGCATATTTGTTTCACCCCAGAAATCGTCTTCTGTTTTTAGTTGTTACCAGTACATTTTCCTGGAAATAGCAATCACACAAAAAAAGTAAGTTAGCCTACTTAAAAAAACAAACAAAAAAAAAAAAATCATTTTCTGCACATAATGTCAAACTACTGAACATATTTGCTTGTATTTTCCAGTAAGTTAGTGTCTGATATTTCTAATATTTCTGATATTAAATTTAAACAAGTAAAGTCACCGTGTATATCACTTCATACAATACAGATAGTTTTTTAAAAAATGCGTTAAAAGTCAAAAGTGATAGACAATAATGCTGCAAAGTGCAAACACAAGTTACACAATCTGCTGTGACGCAGTTAACACTAACGTTAAACAGTGTAACGTTAAACCGGAGAATGGTAAAACTAACATTACAGAATAGAAGCGGCGTGATTTTCCCACCGGGTTGAACAACATATACGTAAAGTCTTTTTTTACACCAAACTAAAATAAAAAAGGAGAAATATGAGGACATTATATGTTATAATTTACTCACCTCTAAGCTGAATGACTTGACAAGGCCTCGCGCAATGAACTACTTTTCTTCCAGAAAACGCTTCTCTTCCATTCCACTTGTTAATGACCGTCGTCACCACGAGTAATGCTGTCATGTCTTTGTGTTTTAATTGTGATAGTTCATAAATATGAACCTATATGAACGATAATTTCAGTGAGGAAATCAACCAAACCGTATTTTATGGAGCAGACACTACGCGGAAAGACGCTGACTGACAGTAATGAGCATCAGCTGCTCTCGAGACTCGTTGTCAGGACAACGCCCGCGGCGCGTGCGCGCGAAGGAAGCTCTGGTCACATGGGCGAGGCTATGTCTCGCACAAAACAGCATAACTGCAGTACAGTTTAATATTGGTAGGCCAAGACTTCAGATGCAAAAAACAAAAACTTCATCCGTCTTTTTTTCATGCTATAAAGCTCCTTTATTTAGGTTCAGTAATTTCACTTTTTAATGGCAACTAAACTGATATCATTGCCTGAGAGCCCAATAAAAACAAAAAGCTAAAAAAAAAAAATGGATTAGTTTTCTCTATCAAAAAAAGTCTATCACTTTTTAAAGTGTATCACTGAACTAAAGTTATTGTATCTAGGCTACTACTTCATTATACTGCAAATCTACAGTTGTACTGCAGTTTTACTTCACTATTCTGAAGTTGTACTTTTTGTACTGTGGTTTTACTGCAGTTGCACTTCAATGTACTGCAGTCACATTGTATCTGTACTGCAGTTATACTTCGTTAATACTGCAATTCTACAGTTGTACTTCATTGTACTGCAGTTATACTGCTTTGAACTGCAGTTTTACTGCAGTCGTACTTCAATGTAGGCTACTGCAGTTATTTTTCGTAAGGGGAGCTGTCGTTCAAACTTTGCGATGCTGTTTGCGAATGTTCGCTGGAACGATGGTTACACTGACTCGTTGAACTATGCTGATAACGATCTTGCGACCATAATTGGCTAATGATGTTTTCGGGAAACGCACCCCATTTCTTTTGTGGAACATAAGGTCGAGGTCCAATCCAAACAACACTGGAGTCCCAAAATGGACCATCAATGTAGGCTATAGACATTTTTCAAAGTGATTCATACAGGTTTGGAATGACACGATAGTGATTAAGTGTTGACAGAATTGTCATTTTTGGGTGAAATATTCCTGTAATGTCAAATGCTTTCTTTAAATCACTGATTAGGTCACAAGTTGACCATATTTCCCTGCTTTGATAATTATATCCTCCAAGGTGCGTTTATACACTATGAAATGTATTTTTTCAGCATTATGCCACCTCAACCACAATTTGTCTTTATGCATTTTATATTAATGCATCTTGTCTTGATGTCCGTTGTAAAAAGTGTCAGAAAAACACTGGTACCATTTAATAAAAAAATATGTGCTGTTTAAACTGTGTTCAATAGAGTTTGGCCATAAATTTGCTTCAGAGCTGCTCCATGATGTGAATATATGGCTATCGAGGTGACACAGATGATACATAAATCACATTTCAAAGCTGGTTCTTTTCCAGCAGTTCACAGGAGGCGAACAATGTGTGTCTTTCAGTATGAGGCCACAGCTGGTCTGGTGCTGCATATTAAGTATTATAAACAAGCGTTGCACCTATTTTATTTAGGAGATTATCATCTTTCTAGGCTTATTAGAAGGACATTTCCCATAATATTCTGAAGATGAGTTTACGCATGAATCCCCATGACTTTGCATTTTGTTATAGACTAGATCTTGTGTTGTGATACTATGCCATTGAGTAACTTTTGTCTCGTATTACCCACATTGCTACAAAGGTTGTCAGAATCACCAGACAAGAATTCCCTTCCACCACAAACTAAAAAAACATAAAGGTGTAGTACAATTTTGCTGGAAGTTTTGGATTATGTTACTTGTTTTCCTGCTTATAAATAATGATTCGTGTTATGTTTTATTCAGTTACTTATGCAACTGGTGACTGGATAAAATATTGTTTATTGAAATAAAGTTCTCAAACATGTTATGTAATGTACATTTGTGCTGCTGACAATACTGAGTTCCTGGTGTCTTAATAATTGTATTGTATCTTTGACATTTTTCACCAATGGTAAACAGAGCTGCCATGTCTTCATGAAGTTGTCTGTCACTCAAGAGGGAAAAAAAATCATTTGTTCTCACCATTTACTGAGGACAATCCCCTTCACCTAAGTTGTTTTTCTTTTGCAGTTTGAGAATATTTTTACAAGCTTCTCCATCCTACAAGAGACAAGACCCAACATAGAGAGGTGGTGAGACATGCTTCAGATAACTGAGTAAAAATGTCATGCGGTTACAGAACTATGTGTGGAAATCGTGTCAGGATACTCAGGCAGATGATGTGTTTCATATACTCATGGGATTGGACATGAACAATTAGAAGAACAGCAAAAAAATGATGTATCACAAATATTTTAAAACATAGTCCCTGATTCTAGTCTCTAAATGCTGTCAGAGCGACTGAGCGTTCCACAACATTTTTCCGCAGTAAGTTAAGTAAAATCTAAAAATATCCTTTCGTTATTACAGTAACATATCCAGAAATTCTTCTTCTGCAATAATGACCAGAGTACATAGTGATCAATAAGGTCAGTTGACATTTTTTTTTGCATAATTTTTTTTTTTTTTTTTTGTAGAAAAAATGTGGCGGCTAGCTGTTCAAAATGTTGAGTCAAAACAACTGACCAGATGGTTTTTATTAAAAACAAATTACAATCAATATCGCATTCGTAATATCAATATGATGATACTCATATATTTTCCACACACTTTTAAGAGAGGTTTGAAATGTATCTCAAGGAGAAGTTAGCAATTTGTTTTGAGACATTGTTGTAGCTTTACATTACCTGAACATACTAAAAAAGTTACTCAGCATCTTCCCTAGTCTCTAAATTTACACAGATCAGCAGGCCTGTGTTTCCTCCGAGTCCCCTTAACCCTCCCTCCAGTTCTTCATCCTTCCTATTTTTAGAGAATGTATCTTTTCCTGATGAAATACAGTAAAATGCACTCAGGGCCACATGTCTGCGCTCACACACAGTGCATATTTTAAAGTTCTTAACTGCTGACTGGCTCGCTGACCTTCCTTCATTTTATATAATGCATGAAATATTTATTCCAAAAACAAATATAGGCTTTTCTACAAAGTTCTACCAAGGTCTGAGCAAATTAGCTTTTTAGATGTTCAATATAAATGGATTTTCAATATACTTATTGTTGCACCACAGTCAGTTAGAGAGAGAAAGTGTGAGAGAGACTATTTGGAGAGGTGACTGTGCACAATATTGATTTTTTTTTTTTAATGCGCACCATGGCTGCATTTTTAACAATTTTATTCATATTGTAAAATTTAAATGAACTGTTTTCTCTTTTAATATATTTTAAAATGTAATTTATTCCTGGAATGTCAAAGCTCATGAATTAATTTTCAGCATCATTACAGTCTTCAGTGTCACATGATCCTCCAGAAATCATTCTGACAAGCTGATTGCTGCTCAATAAACACTCGTTTTTATATCAATGCTAAAAAAACGGTAGTGCTGCTTTTTGTGGAAACATTCATTTTCTTTCAAGATTCTTTAATGAATAGAAAGTTTAACAGAACATCTTTTGTAAGATTATAATTGTCTTTACTGTTATATTTTATCAATGCTTGAATAAAAGATTTTTCGGTAGTGTAGATATAATCTCATTTTTGTGCACAGTCATCACAAATAAAATGCATCTTTCCCCAATGCATTAACAGGAGGACATCTGTTAAAGAACCAATGCTTCACACCACCATTGTCCCATGTATGTATTTTTGAAAGCTCGTAATTCAAATATGTGCACTATACTTTCTCTTTATCTCAATCTTTCTCTTTCTCCTTAAAAAAAATCCCTGAAGCCTTTTCCCACCAAAATGTCCCATGGAATGCTAGCATGTTTGTAATTAGTAAATATGGTGTGAAGCGAGTAAGACAATTCAAGGTTAAGCCTGTTATGTTTAGGGTGGATGGAAGAGATCTCAATTTTAGGCCTACATCACTGACAAATGATAATGTATCTTAAATATACAATAAAATAGTTTAGGATCAGACAGCAGTATCAAAGGTGAGTAAACATAAGTCCAAATTCAGAATTAAACTCTTGTCCTCTTCTATTCTGGGTCCAGTAAAAAATAATAGGCTCAAACTGTCCTATTTATGCTGTTATGTGTCCACACATTAAGAATATTCGGTGGAAACTGTATTTGCTCTAGTTTACTCAATTTGTCATGTTGTTTTGACATACAACAATGTGCCACACGTTACTTAACTATTTCAGAGAGGAGGAAATCGTTTTTTTGCCTTATGCATGGTGACAAGGAATAGGATGTCCCTCCTCCAGGTCGTTGGAGTAACACCACAGCAAACCATCCCATTTGATGTGGCAGGATGTGCAGGTAACAACAGCAAATAAGTGTTTCGATAGCAATTATTAGCTGGAAGTGAGGTATGCGTGCGTGTGTGCGTCTGGGGCAGTTCTTGGGCTTTAGAGTGTGGGTGTGCTTCGAGAAGAGCAGCCACTCAAAGCTTTTCATTAGTTTTGCCTTGTTTCTCCTCTTTCCCTCTCGAGTGTGTAATGTGTGTTGGGACACAATGGGAGGATCTGCAGAATTGTGGTGAGAGGCTGTAGACTGTGTTTGCTGGCGCTGTGAAGAGCCTCTTCACCAGGCTTTGGCCACAAAAGCCTTTGGGATGCGCCCATGGCTTACTTTGTTCACGGGAAGCATTTCACACGCACCCAGGGCAACAGACAGGCAGGGCTGAGGCCTCAACACTCGGCAGAGTTATTGAAAAGATTTTGTGCTTTTTTTTTTTTTTTGTTCACCTATCCCCCCCCTCCCCCACACACCACCACCACACCTCCTTTTTACCGCAAATCCTTTCTCATCCTTTTCGTTCAACTACTACTACTGTTGGGCAAACAGGACACTCTTCTTTTTCTCTTTTTCTTAAACTCACCCTCCACAATATGTGACTTTAAGTGTAATCTGAGTTTTATCGTAAACTCACTTTTGACAATGAACATTGTTTCTGTTTATTCGAAAATGTGATGTGCAGTTAACAAAAAAACAGGAAGGAAGTTGATAAATGATTGTCACCTTCATCTTTATTTCAAATGCACAGCTACAGTGTTGTTTTGCTGGACTTATTTTATTAGAAATCACATGCATTGTTTAACAATAAAGATAGTTTCATGAGGTTATGACCATAGACCATTGTAATCGAAATTCATGTTTTATGATTCTATGCTTTGGCAATAATTCCCTTGTGGATCTTATAGTGCTACTCTTACATTTGTAAATCACGCATTTGCTGTAGGCCAGCTTGCATTGCTCATGACTATCTATACAATATGTATGTCATGTTTGAAATATGTGTGCACACATAAGAGAGAAATAACATTTTATGTTCCTAACAATCT